ACGCATCAGCACCGAAACCTCACACCAGCTGTCAAGCACAGTGGTGAAGGGCTGATGATTTGGGCTTGTTTTTCAGCCGTAGAACCTGGGCACCTTGCAGTCGTTGATACAACCCTGAACTCCTGTGTATATCAAAGTATTCTCGAGTAAAATGTGAGCCAGTCTGTCGGACAACTAAAGCTTGGCTGAAACTGGGTCATGCAACAGCACAATGATACCAAACGCAGCAGCAAAACTCCTACAAAAAGATTTGCTGCTGAAAAAGAGTGAAATCAAAGTGCTGTAATGGCCCAGTCAAAGTGTAGACCTCAGCCTGAATGAAATACTGTGGCGGGTCCTTCAGAGAGCTGTGCATAAATGAATGAACTGAAGCATTATAAACATTATAAAGAAGAGTGAGCTAAAATTCCTCCACAAGGTTGTGACAGACTGATGAAATCATACAGAAATCAATTGCTTCAAGTTATTGCCACTAAAGGTGGTTCTAAAAGCTACTGAATCATGGGGTGCATTTTGAATTAGTTTTTCCTCAGTGAATAATGACACACTGACATATGTCATGTGATGTTGTTACCTACCATTTTTTTGTTATGTCCTGATATGTCAAACCATTGAAATGGCATAGGGTGTGTGTTCTTTCTGACTGTATGTGTGCTTTAAAACTTTGTTGTAAGTAAACTGTTGAGTTAACATGAATTATTATTCTAATGGGAGATAAATGCACAGATCCATTTAGCTTCTGTAAAATGTTGAATGCAGAAAAAAGTGGAAATTTATTCCCATCTTCATACAAATTTGCTTGTCTTCTTTGGAAACATTTCAGCCATGTTTAGAGCTGCAATATCAATAACAAAAAGGACATGCATACTACAATACAGAGTTTCTAAATGTCACACAAAAGCTACACAAACACACACATTCACATTGCTCGTTTGTCCATTCAACTATCCAAAAGGTGTTATACTACCATTATTGATGAGGCTAGAAACACAAATGTGATGTTAGCAGTTGTGGTTAAAGACTACCTGATTTGGGGAAAAGAAGTTGGGAAGCTATGAAAGTAAAGCATACATCATTTTTCATTTGATCTAGTGAATATTTGTCTATTAAACCCACTCTTCCAAGTCAGATTTTAGAGCGTATTTGTGGTTTCCTTTCTCTTTGTGTTTCACGCTGCAGTGGACAGGAAGCATTCTTATAAAAATGTATTTTCATCTCTCTCCTCTATCCATGGTACACATTTTTCACTGCCCCACCCCACCCCTCCCTTCCCTTGTGTCTCTTTTGCGTTTTGCTCTCTCTCTCTCTCTCTCTCACATCGAAGACTGTGAGGAGAGTGTACTGGCAGAGGAACCACGTAAGTCCAAGGATTGCTCAGTGTGTGGCCGTGTTTGTGTATTTGTGTGTGGTGCGCCATACTGTAGGTGTTCATGTTTGTGGACATCATACCAGTCTCTTCATGCGGGGGTTCACAGCATACCTCTTCACTTTTTAATTAGATACAGAATCCCTGAAAGAAGACTGAGTCCATGTGGAACAGCAGAAATACCTTTTCCTGTGGATTAACCCGTGTGCTCCTCTGATCTGTTCCCCTCCTCTCCTCTGCTTTCCTCTCCTCTTCTCCTCTACTTTCCTCCCCTCTCCTACCCTCTCACCACATACACGATAATTACAGCACCAGACAATTACCCCGAAAACTCCTGGGATGCACATTTTGTTCTCTTAATCTGGTCTCTTAAATAATTAAAACCAACCATGAACTCCTCTTTGTGATCGTGGCTCAAGAGTGTGTTTGAATGTGAGTGTGAGAGAGATGTGGGTGTATGTGTGTGCACACATGTGGAAGCATACATCTCTGTGTCGTCTCATTGGCTTTCCTATCTACCAACAGCTCTGTCACAATCCCACCTACCTGCCTCCACGTGACCCTAAAGCAGATTTACCTTCACCTATAACATCTCTGCCGAATGTGCAACTCTGTGCTTACGGGCCCCGTACCTTACTCTCTCAGTGGTGTGATGAGAGAACTTCCCCATAATCCCTTTCTCCATGCTTCTCTACTCACATGGCATCATATCATTGAGTCATTCTTCGCTTGCAAAAATATGTAAATATATACAACAAAGGCTTGCGGAAATATTTTGTGAGCCTGTTAGAAATAGCTGACATGTTAAAAATTTGACATATTTACACTTAATGGAATATTTCAACTCAGTAAATAAATAAATATAATGCATCTGAACTTTCTCCACCACCTAGTTAATCTTTTTCGCTGTTGTTCTCTTCTTTATGTTGTACTGATATCTAAATGTTATAATTGTGCTGTTTCCAAGTGTGTGTGTGTTTCATTCATGCTTCATTTGTCTAAATTCTGCCTATGTGTGGTGGCTGCAGTTTAATATTTCTGTCTTTATCAGCTAAAAAAGAAGAGGAGGATACAGAGGATAAGAAATCCATAAAGAAGAGAATTAAAGAGCTGAAGGTGCTCGATCCAAAGATTGCACAGAATCTGTGTAAGTATTTGTTTCCTTTCTATCTACTCCTAAAAAAAGGCAGATTTATATACATTTATAGAGAAATTTGGTATGCTTTACACCTTAGCATGTTGCTATGGCAATTAATACACACAGACAGTTCATGTGAACCTGGCCTTTGCCACATATGACTCATCTCTTCACACGGACCTAATTAACAACGTTAAAGATCCATTAAGGAAAGAAGGAAAAAAGAACTTCTCTCTCTTTCTTTCTTCCTTCCTCCCTCCCTCATCTCTCTCATGCATTCACACACGCATGCTTGGTCTGAAAATGACGGTTTAAAAAACACCCGGCATTAATGAGGATCCAGCTGATCTCTTAAGCACTCTCAGATCTTAGCACCTCATTGGCTTATATCACATGGAGCTGTGACCTTTGTTTCACGTATTAAAAGAAAATGAGTCTAATCAGCCCAGTAACAGTGATAAATCATGCAGCAGAAATTAGAGAGCAAGGGGGAGGGGAAGGGGGAGTTGGTGGTTTATGTGGTCCACCATAGGAGGTAAAGAGTCTAAAAGCTTTGAGGTTTGAGAAGGACTGAGAAGGGGTTTTATTTCTGTTTTATTTCTGTTACTTGATTGATGCCATCACTGTTAAGATACTGAGATACAGTGCAAATTTATTCTGCCTAATGAATTGTACTAAAATTTTCTCATTACCAGTTACAGCCGGGAGCTTATATCACAGTCGTGTCACATTTTACGTATGCTTTAAGAAGAGAAGGGCTAGTTTGTCAGTAAAACCTCAACCTAATATATGCAGGTTTAAAAAAAAAAAAAAAAAAAAGATTCATCATTTATTGGACGTGTGTTTAAACTTCAGTTTAATCCTTGCACATGCTGTTTCTTTTTAATTCTTCTCAGTTATGTACTGTGTAGTAGTTGGCCTTCTGAAGTCCTGTGGGACAATTGGATACGTGCTCGTGGTTGTCGTCTGTGGTGCTCGAGAGGCGCCTCTTGTGACTCTAAAGTCCCATGCGGGAGTTGAAGTCCTTCTGGTCCTGTTCACAGGAATAAGAGATGACTAGTCTTTTAAGCTGACTTTTTTAGGCCATTTTCTCAAACTGTTGTCTTTTAAAGCCCTGCAGGGCCTTCTGGATTTCAAGCTGCAGGTGTTTCTGTCTCTTTGTAGCTTTAAAGTCAAGTGAACGCACATCTTTGTAGCATAGCAATCCTGTTGGTTGTCCACACAGGAGATCTTTGGTGAGGCTGCTATCCCTTTATGTGATACTTATGCCAGGGATAGAACATGCCTGGGCAACTTGTCTTTCCAAGAGTTGCAAAGTACTAAGCAAACACACCACTATAAAAAGATTTCCTGGTGAGTCTGTGTGTATACTTTTTGGGGGTTTTTTTTGTCCATCTTCATTTCATCAGGCTTGCCAGGTGGTTTTCAACACCATGTAGGGAGGTCTCTCTCTAGGCACAGGGTGTCTGAGAAACAGCACACTGAGGGATATGAATTCATGGATGGGCTCAGGTTTTTGGGATTCTATGGTGATATGAGAGGATATCTTGGTTCATAACATTTGTCTTTGTAACTTGATTGTTACGCCAAAGTTGGTGCTCAACCTGAAATAAAAAGTTATTATTTCTGTCCCCACAACTTTAAAAATGATTTAACCCAGTAGAGCAAAAAAAGTGTGCAAAACAAAAGGTACATTCTCGTTTTCAAAAGTTCATGCTCTCCTGTATATGCATAATGTAATGTTGTAACATACTTCACACACACTTACATGCAGAACGCTCCAAAGTGTTCAACCTAAAACATGCTCAATAATTTTAAATGATTTTTTTTAATGTGTTTCTGCTTGTGAGACTAATAACTAGCCCTGACGGGGCATGCACCATACCTTTGCTAGTCCCAACTCTTGCTTGAAAATATCATGGTTGCTAAGCCAATACATTTAAAATTAAAATCATTTTTTTAAAGACAGAAAGAAAAAATGAAGACATTGCTGGCTGAATGGGTCAGACTAACCTGTTTCATAAGATTTATGTGTACTGTTTTATTTCACATTGTTCTTTTTTGTGTGTGTTTGGTTGTTTTTTCTGTTCTTTTATGACCAACTGTCTCATATCTCAACATTACAGCTCAGCTGTCAATCTTTTCTCCATTTGCCACATCTCTCCCCCCCCTCCCACCTGTAGCCATCTTCCTAGGCTCCTTCCGCATCCCTTATCAGGAAATTCGACGCATGATAGTGGAGGTCGATGAAGAGCAACTCTCTGAACCTATGATCCAGGTATGCTGTTTAATGAAGCCATAGAGCCTCCGTTACTTTAGTGGATGACTTTCTCGTTCCACCCAACTCTGGACCTAGCTAGCTGTGAGATAAAAGAGAAAAAAATATAGAAACTAGTCAATGCTCAACTTTTCACCTTGAGGCTGGAAGTATATTTTTAGTTTTGCCCTTCTCCTACTCAGCTGGTCAGGTTCAACTCTTTGTCTATTGTCTTGATTAGTTGTCTATCTTAAAACAGCATGTAGCCCAAGGCTAAAGCGTTGGGCATCTGTAAAGCCTGCAGTACAGCAGGTGTGGAAACAGTTGGTGAGCACAGGCAGTATGTCAGTAAAAAATAAATAAGCACTTTGCTGATGTTTAGCTGAATTATTATTTTTTTTTTTGCTTTGTTTTGTTTGTTTGTTTATAAGTGCTTTACCAGCTTTTTGGCTATAACTTCGATGTGTTTATGCCATCTGTATACCTCACACTTAGCACTGACTTACTCTGTTCATCCAATCCATCTGTCGGTCCTTCCATGTATGTGTCAATCTCTGTTTTTCTATCTTAACAGCAATTCAATGGACCAGTGTGGTTCATTTCAGTTGTATCTACTGTATAAAGCTACATAGTCTTTGCTTGGTAATAAGATGTTTTAACATAGTAACAAAGCTCACCACATGGCTGAAACACACCAACAGAGACAACGCCAAACAGAACAGCAGCAGGTTAGCTGTCTGTAAATTTCTGTATATCCTTCCCGCTTCTCACTCCCTTTCTTCCTTTTCTTTGTAGAACCTTGTAAAGCACCTACCGGAGCAGGAGCAGCTTAATGCGCTGGCCACATACAAAAATGAGTACTCTAATTTGTCAGAGCCTGAGCAGTTTGGGGTTGTGGTGAGTACACACAATACACACAAATGTACAACACACACAAACATCTGTCAACTTCCCACCAACTGCAGATATACAGCACAAAAACGACCTTTCCTTTATATTTCCTTATTTATTGCCGGAAGACCTCAGACAGTGTGCCTATTATTGACGATGCTATTAAACACAAGTGTATTAAGAATTAAATAGTTTATCAGAGCCAAAAAATGCATATTTGGTGTAATAAAACGTAATATTTGAATGTTTTAGTCAAGTAAACTTGTCTTGTATTCTTTCTCGGCGTCTTATTTCAACGAAAACACACACAGAGAACACTTTCATGTAATTATCATAATCCTGAGCTCTTTAAAATTCTATCTTTTAAAGCCTTAAGAGGAAAGACGGGACACCTGTGGACTGGTGCACTAATTTATGCACATTAAAGAGCAGCACTTCTGCCTCATTATGTCAGCATCATTTTCTTAAAGACTTTTCAAAGGAGGTTTAGTCAGAATTATGCATGAGAGGTGTCACTTAGGTATTTTTATTTTTCTACCTAGCGACCACCTTATGGACAAAAACATAACTCATCTTTTGTATCTTGTTCAATGAGGAGACGAGAAAAAAGGAGAGCCTGCTTATATAATGAGGTTGTGCTACTCGTGTGGGCCCACAAAAGCTCAGGTTCAAAGGGATTTTTTTTAATGTACTTTTTTAATATTTACCATTGTGTAAACATTCACTTTTTTATTTTCAGTCAACACCACTTTCAATTGATCTTTAACTCATCCTTGTGCGCAGTAGTATTTTGTTTTCAGGTCTATGTTGTAAAAGCTTAACACAAGGTCACCACCATAGTTGCTGAGTGTTCCTGCAGCTACGTGAATAAGTTCACTGTTCTTTGTGACAGTAAGTTGAGGAACTAAAGCGCTTAATCTCAAAATATAAATTTCCACATAACTCATCTATATCAGTCAATGAAAGCATATTTTAATGTCTTTAACAGAAGCCATATGCATGCCTGTAATTTTTTGTAAATCACTTGCAGTTAATGATTATTCCGCATCACTCCTGAAATCTGAGGAATGTTTATTAGTATGTGCATGCTGCTGGCTGAGCTGTAGTTAAAATCCTCGGGACTAATGCTTTTTTCATCTTTGATTTTATTTGTTGTTGACAGTTGATGGGAATATTTATTACATGCAAGTTTTCAAAATATTTACTAGAGAGAGAGAGAGAAGCTTTAAATTCAGTGTTAATGTTCTGACACTTCAGATAAGGATATCAACAGAGCTGTCTTTTCCTTCTCACTATCACCTCATGGAAATAGTGTTTGGCAGTAAACGAGCTAGATTTTCCACAAGTCCACTCTTTTGTGTGTGTGTGTGTGTTGGAAACCATCTCCTCAACTTGTCAGTATAACCTCCCAGTGCCCTGTGTAGGCCAGTGGGAGCAGCTGCACACATTCAATTTGCAGATGATCCGGTGTGTTTTGCTCCATTTCTTCTTTTTCTGATTATTTTTTTCTCGTTTAAATATCTTTATCACATAATTCATCCCATCTCTGGGGTTCGTTTCAGCATTATGTTTTGTTCGTGTGGACCTTGCTTTTTCTTAATTCTGTTATATAATTCTATTCCTCTTTTTTTTTTGTTGCCCGCCCTCTCCTTTTATGTGCGACAAATACACGGACACAAAGTGCACACAGACAAGCACACACTGACTGAAATAGTCATTTGATAACATTACAGTAGCTATAATTAAACCCTTGATGGAGGACATCAAACCGCACAGCCAGCTGTTGTGTGAAACAGACAATTGGAACCTGCACCCCTCCCTCCCGCCGCACACACATACACAATCACTGTGTCGGCCAGGTCCTGGGCCCAATGCAATATTTTCCAATTTTCTCTAATTGTGTGAGAGTGGTAATCCAAGGCAGCCTATTGTATATTCCACCCCTCCACTGCCTGCCCTATATGGACACTAACTCCACAATTAACTTACCAGACCTGGGTCCCAAATCAAATCACTGCCAGCATCTATTACTACTGCCTAGCAACACTTTCCAACATGCTGGTTGCATAAATGTCTTTTAAATTAGATCGTCTGAATGTGAGAGTGTGTCAAATGTGTTATTGTAGTTATTTTAAGTTTGACTGTTCTTTGATGTGGTTTGCTCTCCTTGACATCATTTCCCATCCTTTTCTCATCTCCTTCCTCATTCTCTTTTCTCCGAATCCCTTTTCCCCCTACTATCCCTTTTCCATCTATTCCTTCTTGTTTTCTTGTTTCCACCTTGACTTTGTTGCCTCCCCAGATGAGCAGTGTGAAGCGGCTGCGTCCTCGCCTCAGCCACATCCTCTTCCGGCTTCAGTTTGAGGAGCACGTAAATAATCTGCGACCAGATATTCTGGCCGTAAATGCCGCATGTGATGAGGTCAGGAAGAGCCGCTCCTTTGGCCGCTTATTGGAGCTGGTGCTACTACTGGGGAATTACATGAATGCGGGCTCTCGAAACGCCCAATCATATGGCTTTGACCTGAGCTCCCTTTGCAAGGTAAGGGTTGAAATGCTGACCCTAATTTCAACTGTTCACACACAGTTTGTAGTCAGTCATCCCTTCAGTGTCAAATGTTCAACAGGAGTGACGCTAGTTCAATAAACTTTCTCAAGAGATACACAGCTGTGTTTGCAGTCAGAGTTCTGTAACAGAAATATAATTTATTTTTTACTGACCTGAACTAAACGATTTTTTAGGCCTTTAGTTGAAGCTAGCCTGATAGATTCTCCTTATTTTCATTATTGCGCTCTCATTTTATGTCCTCAAAAACCTTGAGTTAAAATGGTCATTTCCTATATGGATTGCTTTTTTCTGCCAAATGTACAAGCCAAGAGCGTTAACAGTGATTAGACTAAAGAAAGAATCGGTATACATTATGGGATTTATGTATATCTGTGTCTGTACCAGACACTACGTGTAGCGGTGTCTCTCTCTTTGGTCACCTTGTCTGAGCCTTATCAGTAAACTGATCCAAAGCAGCTGCTGTAATGAGACATTTTATTTTAAACCATTTCATTTGATTGAACACTATCAGAGTTTTCGTTATCATCTGGCCTCTATCAAAGCATTTAAGCCCACCGAGTACTTTAGTCTCATTCTTCTGCCCAGAAAAGATAACTGAAACTCAAACCACTATCCCTTTTGAAAGTTCACACAACTTCGCCGTGGCAATACTAGTGCTTCTTGGACAGAGACGTATCCAACACCTGTAACTCAGGATTTTATGCGGCATGAAAACAGAACATGAAGTTTGTAATAGTGACGGGAAGAATGGGGTGCAAGTCTCCTCCAGTGGTTACATTACAGCTGTTGGCACACCCACTGCAGTTTCCACAGTAACGAGCACTGCTGTCATTTGTCACTGCCACCTCTTTACCCTCCTAGACTTGGATGCTGATGTTCATATAAATACAGGTACAAAGGCAAACACTTGTACGAACATGATGGATTAGATGCATTAGGACAACAGTAATATCAGTTAATAGGAGACTGTTAAGGATTTAAAACAGTAGTTTCTTTTGTCTGCGTAAGTGAGTGAAGGAAGGTTTACGTTGTCACGGGCAGGATATATAGAGGAAGACATCTCCTTCGCGCCATACCCAGAGTTTGACAACTTAATTCCACGGCACACTCCACAGCACAGGAAAATTGCATCCATCCTAACTGTAAAAGGCAAAATGTTTACATTGTCATCTACGATTACCATCCATCTAAATTCAAAGAGGGACCTTTTGTGAGTGAGCACTTGAAGCTTTTATTAAAAAAAGGGGGGACTGGGGAACAGAAATGAAAAGAGAGATGAGAATGTTTGATTAGAGGAGATAATACAAACATGATTAAACCCAGCGGGTCTGAGTACACTGCTGTCTACCAATAGATCACCTAGAGAGATACACTGCAACACACTCTGCAGGAGGCATGTTTGGCAGGGATGCTGATAGACATCTTGGAATTAGCCTGTTTAATAAAAAAGGAAGAAGAACAAAGAAATGAGAAAAAAATCAATGATGAAAATTTATCAGGGAAATATAAAATATTTGTTACTTTTGGCAATAAATGGGCACCAAGTGCAGGGAGCAGGAACACATCTGCTACGTAATCACGAGACATAAAATCATGTGTGGCACTGTTAACACTCAGCATTTGTTAAGCTAGAGCTCAGAACTGCTTTGAGTAAGTACAGTAGATGAAGGACAATGACTTCTTTTTCCAATTACCAGACAGCATATTTAGCTACATTAGTACTTCTGATTTCAAGCATGAGTACGTTGAGCCCTGTGCTGAACCTTGTTTTTTGTTGCTGTTAGCATTAATCACAAAAAATGATCTAGGGAAAAGTGCACTTCTAACAGTAGTTTGTAGCTCTATTGCAAATTAGCTGCTCACCTACATCACATTAAACAACATGGAGACGCACCTTTGATGCTGCTTTCACCCTTCTTACTGAATAGCAAGTGAAGCTCTGCACACATGACAGGTAGGCTGGTGTGCAGGTTTTCATTAACTAGTGATGCACTCACTTACCCAACTGACTAAGAAAAGAGCAATTTATTAAGCACCTAATGTCTTGCATTTAATAAAAGTCACATCTTTCACCCCTTTTAACTAGGGTATCCACAAAGTGTGGTTTTCATTTTGCAGCTCAAAGTGCATGTGTATCATGATTCCTGCCATAGCGACGAATACTGTGAAACTAAGGCCAAAAAGATGTTGTTTACGTACCATACCCAATTTCTGTTATTATATGTTTCAACAAAAACGTTCTTTGACTTTGCCCATCAAAAGCAAAAACTGCATCTGGTTTAAATTTGTCTGATGTACCTTTTAAGGGTCGGGCCCTTGTGAAGGGGCGCACCGCCTTTCGGCACTCTTGCAAAGATTTGATCGCTCCCTGAAAGCCCCTTTCTAACAACCTGCATTTGTGTATTCGCAGTGCGTGTGCTTCTGTTGTGTCAAAACTGAAAATGTGTTACAAAGCAGCAGTGCGCTCAACTCTGAATCCTAAACATGCATACGTTGCCTGGTCTAAATAAAATGTGAAAGCACACAGCATAGCGGCACGCATACTTCCTAACACGTATTAACTATTAAGACGAACGTGTTTCATCTGTAAGCTGACATCAGGACAAAGTGGGGTGCGCAGTGAGTGATGATTGTGTTTTAAATGCGCTGCGGTGAGGTGCGCAACTCTTGTCACCTGTGATGATCTTCAGTCTAGACATGCACAAGATTTCCAGGAGCAATTCAGATGTAACAGGAGCACCGGCAGCGCTGCATTTCAGAATCAAATGACCTTGAAAGAGAGAGAATTTAAATTTAAATTGGCTAAGGCTTTTGTATTTATGTGCAGACTTGGAAAAACTTTTTGATCCTACCTCGTATAGATGTAGCCTTCTAAGGGCTGCTAACAAAACCCCGGCGTTGACCGCATTTTTGAACCAGAATTAGATCCAAGAGGAAGAGATGATTGCATGCAGTTGTCTTACCACTTGTTTATTTATTTTTTTAATGTATTTTTTCAATTTTATGTTGTTATAGATGGATGTACTTAGATATATTTCTAACTGTGCTTGTGCTGGATAAATCATGCTGTTTACATTACTGAGGGTGATTTAAATGTTGAATATGGGTTGTGCGCCCTTCTCCATAAAGTGAGTGTTTTAGACCTGCTTTATACTCTAAAAAAATGATGAATATCCTAACCTTTAAATTATGGAACCTTTTAATATGGCAGGTATATATGGTGTGTTAGAGAAACATGACATAATTTCTGACTTAAAGTAAGACAGATTCATCAGATTCAAGCATGCAAACACATTTATTTAGCAAGTGAACAGTGTGTGTGCTTAACAGGGTTAGACCTAACCTGTGACATTTTCAATAACACAAACTCTGAGCAACATGCAGAGTCACTTTTCCCCTGTTAGAGCATTTTTTTTGCCCTGCGTATACGTTTTATTTTTCAATTTATTGTATTATTAAATTTGTTGTATTATTTACTTATTATTAAAAAAGCCACATAAATGCATATTTTATGTGTCCATGTTTTACAGCTAAAGGACACCAAGTCAGCAGATCAGAAGACAACCTTACTTCACTTCCTGGCACAAGTATGTGAGGACGAATTTCCAGACGTGGTCAAGTTTCTTGACGACCTAGAGCATGTGGATCGAGCAAGCAGAGGTAATATTCTTAAACACCAAGATGCAAAAACTTCTCAACTGTACATAATAAAACTGTTATTGGACACTTGTGATATATTTTCTAAGTCTCTAAAAGCACTATTTTTTTATACAGTACAGAAGCCATTTTTCACCTGTTTACCAGCATGTAAGAGTCAGCTGCTACTTGATAATTTTAACACTCTCTACCTTCCACTTTCTCTGAGGTGATATCACAGTGCTGCTGTTATTTTGGTCCCCTGCTGTCAACCCAAGGTTTTTAGCTCTCCCATGGTTGCATGGTTTGAGTTTCATCTACTTCCTAGCTGAGATATTTCTAGTGATGTTTAACAGCAGAGATTTGGCAACTGGTCTTAATTGGTCATCTAAGATAAGAGTTACTGTGAGGAAACAATGGGCATACAAACTATTAACTTTTTTGATATTTTCTTTTCTGCAGTTAAAGTTAAAGAAGAAAAGGGTAATGATGGCATAATCTGTCTATGCATCTAAGCATGCTTAAATGTGAAGACTGAAGAATCTATTTAGAAAATGCCTGATATGTGATTGTGGCAATTAAGCACTTGATATAATAGTGATGATCTGGATGATAGTAAATGATAGGAGCGCTCAACCTCATTAGATAATGTGATATGGGCTTATGTTTTCACCTTTTGTCTTGCTAATGTGGAATTTACCATCTCACCTTACCTGCCCGATGTCCCTCGCTCACTCGCAGCAGTTATTATCATGCATTGGTTCTTGCCATGATTAACTTAGACTTTCCCCTCTAGATCATTTTTCATACCCCTTTAGTGACTCTATTTTCCAAAAAACAAACACCAGAAACACCTATAGACAGAAATGCATGAATCCATGAAACCCCCCCTCTCTCCTGGTCTTCTCAGTTCAGTGAGTGACAACGAACGGCAGTACCTCTCAATAAGATGTTTGCACATGTGCAGTGTTGTTTTTGTGGCTTGTTAGCCAGAAGGAGGATGCCCACTGAGAGAAAAGAAAAATAAGAACGACATACTGACACATGCTGATTCCTCACTGAGTCATCGTTATCTAAGCAAATGAATACAGGACTACTACACAGCTATTGTCTTAGGCTTTTGCCTGTTGATTTTGTTTGGTGACATTGTGATTATAATGTGTGATACATGTCTGTTGTTTATCTTAAATGATATTTCACTAATATAAAAAGACATTAGATTAGTATTATTTAGTTTGATATTGTCCTGTTTTTTTGTTTTTTGTTTTTTTTTTAATAATATATGATCATAAGCAATGAAAGCTTGGCACCAGAAGGGCTACCTATAAAGTGTTACCTAGAAAGAAGTGGAACATTTGTATGCATTCCTTTGTTTTACTTTGAGTTTTACTCTTAGCTTTCTGCTTCTGTTGCTCTCTCAGGGGATTGGATGTTTGTTGATTCTGTAAACATACGTTGTATTTTATCATTTTCATGTTTGATCTGTGCCACAGTCATTTCATGTGCACTGCTGTTTGATACAAACATTAATCTTCTTCTGTGGCATATCTTCAGGTTTGATGGCTTATGTTTTAGGTCATGTCTGCGACTGGGATTAAAAACATTTTTAAGTCTCTGTGTTGATTTGAACAGAAATTGGCTGTATTGCACAGGTGTGCATGCAAACATGGGTACACACAAGTACAGAAGAAGTGCTTTGAGTGGCCAGCGTCTGTATAGTGTTGTAAAGGTCACATCCAAGCAGGGACAGACTCAGTGGTCGGAGGAAACTCAGGCATGTTCTTTGTTCATATTGCCACAGGCAATTCACAGGAAGAAGCAGTTAGCCGCTGCCAATGTACGGCTTGTGTGTGTGAGGTCGCACTGTCACAGCGTGTTTCCTCCTGCTCTAAAGAAGATTTTACCCACTGCTCCATTCTCAGCAGGAGGGAGTGTAGGAAGGTGTGAGGAGGAGAAAACATAGGAGGATGAAATGAAATGTGACTCTTTTTTTTTTTTTTTTTTTTTTTTTTGGTTTGTTTGTTTGGACTCTGCTCTTCATAAAGATTTCAATTTTTTCCCCCCTTGTTTTGCCGCTTTGATAATCTGTAGATAAAACACTCGACAGTAGTGTTGTTATTTCTCCCAACTGTGCTGTGTGTCCAGAAGGCTTTGGCCACGATGCAGAAGTACAATGGCGAGATCAAGGGAGAGCACAGTCCTTGGATCTCTCTGCAGGTTTTCTCTACCTCTTTACTTCACTGGCCTCAAGCTGAGTTTATTTGCATCTATATAGATATGGACTGCTTTCTGTGCTTCTGTCTTTCTTTATGATTCTATAAGCTTAGGAGATGCATGCACCGTCTTATCTCTTCACATATTATATCCAGACACACAGATCCTGTCTCTAAGCCGTGCTGGTGAGTGGCTTCCTTTTCATCGGGTCTGACAACTATTTGATGGGCATGTACTCAGACTAAAAGGCTGCATTGCATTCATATACACTAGTCATAGAGCTTGCTTGAGCATGAAAACAAGGTTGAGCAGAGGTAGCAGTAATGATATGTTCTTCCTTTGTAAATGGTGCTGTCTTTAGACTGTAACACAACCCTTGTTTCCCACTCTGCCAGTCCTGTACTTCAGTTCAGGGATCCTTTCTTTCTGTCTTCTCATTTTTGCCAATTCTCTTCTTTTTAGACTTACAATCATTTCTCCCCCTGATATTGACCCACGTTAAACTCATGGACTGAACATACACACACAAACAATGGACAACTGTACCCTCAAACACACAATAATAACATGGACTGAACCACCACTCACAACCACTAGCACTTTATATAGCCTCTGTAGAAATTATCCACGCCCTCACTTATCTTAACTGCACTACTGTATAGCTCTGTGTAAATAATCATTCTGTACATACGATAATTTTTAACCCTACAACTGTTTACAACTTGCATAGTTCCCATTTCTGTATAGCTGTATATCTCAGATTTCTGTAAAGTTATTTATTTCAAATTCTGTATAGTTTTTCATATTTATATCCTGTACATAGTTGTACTCACTACAGCCTGTACATACTTATAGTTATAGAATATTCACAACATACTTCATACCTTGTACATTATAACATACCATAATAGACCCATTTCTGTAATATACTTACATATCTATATTATTGCTAATATATATTGTAATATATCTATATCACTAAAGCACTTCTGGATGGATGGATGCAAACTGCATTTCGTTGCCCTGTACCTGTGCATGTGCAATGACAATAAAGTTGAATTCTATTCTATTCTATTCTATTGAGATGCACTCAGTCCCTGCTGCTTCACTCTGTCAGTTTGCATGTATCTCTTTAACTGCCTGTCAATATTCGTCTATCGGTCCCCGATTGTTGCTCGGTCTGGTTCTTGGTCTTTGGGTTTTGCTTGCAGGCTCTTTTTGTTTTAACTTCTTTTGCCTGTCGCACACGCAAACAGACACACACTTATAATAGACAGCAGCCGATTTGAGCAGTTAGGGCGGCTTGTTGAGTGATACTCGGTGCTGAGTTTGAAGTTGAAAGCAGACAAATACGGAGACATGTTAATGTTCTCAACCACTCTACTTCAGCTTGCAGCTTCAAAAACCGCCTGTCAGCAACAGAAATGCTGTTTACTACTACGTACTGCTAAAAAGCATGTCTGCATTAGTAGAACTATGGATGTATGTGTAGTAAAAATGGAAAAGCTGTTCTGGTTATGGCCTTGGGGAATCTTTAATCAGTAACGCAACGATTCAGCTACACTGAGATGGCTCTCCAAAAATACTGTTCAAGCTTTGTTTTCTAGTTTTGTTTCATGCAGTCTAAACAATGAGCCTCAGGTTGAAAGTACTTAAAATGAGGGCTCTACAGTGCATTTTAATGTTAGTCCTGCACTGTTTTAAAGTGGTTCTGTAGATTGTACATTTTCAGATTCACCAAAACATCAGGCTTTTGCGTCAATTTTTTCCCTCTCTCAGAATTCATTATATCAAAGGTGCTTATACAGTGACTGTGTGTGCGCTGGGGCTGTTTGTGGGTTGCATGCTCTACTCTGTCTCATTTATGGCACAGCAGGTTAGCAGACTAATAAAAGGATGTCAATGGATTTTGACCTCCACAAATATTTCGATTGTTCTTCTTTCAAAATATCTTAGATCTGTCTCAGACTCCTCTGCACCAAAGAGACATTCAGGCCCCACTGCTCATAAAAATCACTCACACTTAAATGCACAGAATAAGAAATCAAGTGCAAAGTGGTCAGTGAGAGAAAAGAAACATTTCCTACTGTCATTTCCTAAGTCTTGAGTTGTATACGGCTGACGTAAGCCTCTTCTGTTTTGAAACACATTTCTGTGTGTTTTCTTTAAAGTGAAGGATCCGATAAAAGCCAGTTTTCTCCTGAAGCATACTGTATCCCTGATTCACATATAGTCTGCCTCATCTTGAGTACTCTGTGGCTGGAGTGATGACACTCTATTGTCGCATTAAGGCAGATGACCTGTGGTGACATGTGCATGGCCTTATTTGCATGTACTGTGTAGAGATCCATCATGGTTCTTAGTTCTTCTCCTTGCTTTTTGCCCCGTGCAGAGCACCTTCACTGAGACATGTTGGTTCTATTTAGTATTTCTATTGTTGGATAGCAGCATTAAGTAAGTGTCTCCTGTTTGTATTATCCAAAGTACCCAGTGTCCAAAGTATATGGATCTAATTATGTGTTAGATTCTGCTTCTCTCGTAGGATAAATAATATAAAGTTCCTAGGTTTTCATGCATATACCCTTTTGTGTGAGGTTGCTTCTTCACAAAAGCCTGCAGATTGCAAAGCTAAGAAAAGATGAGATCCCTTTTTTGTTTTGCTTTTGTCTTGCCCTCCCTTGCTCCTTTCTCAGTTACCACATCATCACAGGGCTTTAATCATTTCTATTAACAGACTGCCTGTCTGGCCTCTTTCCTCGTCTGAATGCTGCCCACACCTTCTTCAGGCGATTTTGGTTGCCTGGTAATGCACTGAGCTTTCAGGAGAAAAGGATTTAGAGTCAGATTATAATTGTTTATTCACTTTTTTTATATGTAGCCACACTAATCATACTGGGTGTATGGATCATTTTTAGATTTCTCATTAGTTAATGAGCACTGACAGAGCCAGCCAGAATTTCTGTAAAAGAGCTCGGACGCAGCACCATCTAGGGGCAACTGTCTATTTTTATTTTGTTTCAATTATTATGGTTCAATTATTATCAGTAAAACTTTCTACATACTTAATTCTGTATCTGCACTCACTGAAAACTTTATTAGGTACACCTTGGAAAACCTGGGTTGGAGCGATCAGAACTATCTTAGTTCTACATAACATAGATTAAACAAGGTCCATGTTGACATTCCACCATCACACAGTTGCTTCAGTTTGTTGGCTGCACATCCTTGATGAGAATCTCCTGTTCATCACATCCCAAAGGTGCTCTACTGGATTAAGATCTGGTGAATATGGAGGCCAATGATTTATGCATAGGAGAGTTGTTTCAGGATTTAAAAATAATAATAATCATTAGTGTCCCATAAGGTGTCACTTCCTAATAACCATTTTAACTCTTCCAGAAGTCAGAGATAGGAATATTTTTCCTCCACATTGCTACAGTTCTCCTCAAAGATACATTAACTCATACTTAAAGAGCCGTCTGCCTTTTTTACTGTCCATAAAAACAGGATGATTTCTTTAAAAGAATTGCAGAGCAGTTGCTTTGTGAAGGCGGCTCTGATGGAGATATTATTAGTCACAATCTACTTTTGAAGCAAGAGTTTTAAATGTCTGCTCCTTTAAAGCTTTTGACTGACCGCAGGTATCATTGCAGGCATACAAGTAAGAGATAAAAGAAGGAAGAAAGAAAATTAAAATCCAAAAATCGATAAAGTGAAAATGCATTCAGGACAATCTAAAACACGCGACGAGAAAAAAGTACTCTTTAGCTGCGGTGTTACTGAAGTGCACTCAGTCTTCTTTCTCAATTATAAGTAACAGGTTGAAAAGTGCCACCTGCCTTTTCCTCTCAGCACGCTGAAAGCATAAGCTGGTAATTTGTACATTTCACGAGTGTGGACATTCACATGTTCACACATACACTCTGTTAAACTTCAAATGAAAAGCACAACTTCAGTAATGCAAACTTTGTAGAATATTAGGAGTCAAGATGTCTGAGAGAACATGTGTGTGAATCCAAGATGGTATGTTCCCATCAGGAAATGGGTTTATGCTCTAAAGTCAGAGGAAAGCTTAACTACATTGAAGTCTTTCTCTTTTTTTTCTTTTCATAAAGCATGTATTAGGATCAAGGGAAATTTGAAACTACTTAAAATTAAGCAGCTTATGCCTTTTTGTCAAGTGGGGTCTAATCGGGGTAATTTAAGCCATATGCTATATTCAGTCACTAGCTTAAAGTGTCAGCCATGACCAACTTAGCAGAAAGTTAGGCTTCACGTTCCACTGCTTTCCAACCCGCATGATCCATGCACCTGTTGATAAGACTAAAGTCCAAGGATTAATAGAATAGAAAGATATTAACTCAATCAGCCACACCTTCATGCATTCAGGGTGTGCAGTGCTGCTGTATCTGTTGCTATGTAATGCACAGAAGTCACACTTACCGAGTAAATGGTAAAGCCTTGTGTTCAAAAATGCTGGTGACACAATGTTTTGAAAAATTTAAATCGTGTATTTAATTGCGAACAGTACAAAGAGATAAGACTGCGTTATCTCTATGAGCCACGGTCGCCCCGTAGCTCAGGGGGTTGGGAATCGCATTTGTAACCGGAAGGTCGCCGGTTCGATCCCTGGGCTCTCTGTCCTGGTCGTTGTGTCCTTGGGCAAGACACTTTACCCTACTTGCCTACTGGTGTTGGCCAGAGGGGCCGATGGCGCGATATGGCAGCCTCACTTCTGTCAGTCTGCCCCAGGGCAGCTGTGGCTACAACTGTAGCTTGCCTCCACCAGTGTATGAATGTGAGAGTGGATGAATAGTGGTATTGTAAAGCGCTTTGGGTGCCTTGAAAAGCGCTATATAAATCCAATCCATTATTATTATTATTATTATCTTGAATACCAGCTGCTGTTGTTTCAACAGTTACAGTAGGTAGGTGGGGTGTTTGTGTGTGGGGTTTTTTTTTTTTGTTTTTTGTTTCAGGTTGTACCAGATATTTTCAGTGGGTGATACTTTTGGACTCTAGACAGTCCAGACTAGTTCCTGAAGTTTTTAACTACTGAGCCTCGCTGTTGTAATATGTGCTTGTTTGGCACTGAATTCCTTAAATATGTGAAGACTTCTAACAACTACTGAGTACTCTTCTTTTGCCTGCTTATTGTTTTAAAAGTGCATTAAGGTGCAGTTACAAATATGAAATAATGGAGCCCTATTAAATCACAGAGAGATTTAGATTTAATTAATACTTTTGTGTTGGTTAGTGTTACCACGTTTTTCTAGTTGTAGACTTTACTTAGGCCGTGTATATTACCTGCCACCATCTGATTGGCATCTGATCTGATTTAGGATTTTTTTCATCTCTGCAACTTGTTTACTAGTTGAAATATGCTAGATGCTACTCTTATTTTGAAAATGCAGCCGTTTACATTTTGGTCTTTACTAACTCTAACTAATTCTAACTCTGAGTAAAGTTAAAATGATTTGAAAATAACTGGATTCAGTGTTTAGTTTCCTGAAATGTTGAAGGACAAAACTTTGGGAAATACAATTCCATATTTGGACTCTTGATGCGACTTCTCCGTAATACTGACTTCAAATAGTACGGCACCCTTAAGGCACGATGATGGCTGATTGAGTATTTCAACATCAAGTATCACAACACCGAGTATTAACATAGCAGTCATTTGCTTTCACTACAGTTTGTGTGACGGCGAGGGTATTGTATTTTAATGTTAGGTTGTTTACCGCAAGCACACGACCGTGAGGAAAACAGAATAACGAGCAGTTATGTATTAAACATACTTTCACTTGATGCTTATATTTTGTCATTGTTTATTCCCACAGTGTTTTGGGCACAGTGTGAACCCATAATAAGTCTGCTTTGCGATCGAGCTGGCTTCTCTTTCATTTTCCCTGTTGTTTTGTTATTGTGCGTTGTTTTTCTGATTCTTCCAGTGCTTGAAAATAATAATGCATTTGATTGTACCTTTAATTGAGTTGTCCTCACATGTGCTTTTATGAATGTATGTATGCGCGTCTGAAAATATGTGGGTGTGTGTCAGTGTCTGCAGAGAATCTGGAAAAGAGCCTCAGGCAGATGGAGAGGCAGCTGTTGCAGCTGGAGAGAGACCTGGAGACTTTCTCCTCCTCCGATGACCCCAACGACATGTTTCTTACCAAAATGGCTATATCCTTTACACGTGTATGCATAGGCTCATCTCTCTGGGCCATCATGCAGTGAGTTACAGTAATGAACTCTTCACAAAGACAGAAGAATATCACTGAATGTGAATTTTATATCTTTACAGTAAGTCACAGTGGTGCTGTGTAGGCTGGTTATGGAGCAGGTTTCAGGTTTAATTAACAAGTTAAACCTAACATCAGGAAAAATGGTAAAGACTTCTCAGATCTTTAACATGTGGTGTGTCTTATTAAATGATCTGTGTGAAACGTGGTTAAAAAAAAATTAGGCTCAACTTCACCTACTTTCAGTGAGTACAAAGATGTGGACAAGTCTTTTGTAGTGTAAATAACTTTATTTATTGCTTCTATGTACATCTGTAAATGAGGCATCGAAAACTATCGCGTGCTTTAGAGTGAAATGGCAGATGTGGACACTATATGGACAGAGGTATTAGGCTATTTACATATTATACGTACAGCAGTTATTATGACTGTATATACATCTAGTTTGCAGTCTAAATTCATATAAATTTGACCCACACTTTCTGGGAAGGCTTTCTATGGAAGTCATTGCCTGGTTATTCAGAATAGCACTGGTAAGGTTAGAGGTGGATGTTGAAACTCATCCACTCCTTTATGAACCTTACTTGTGCATCGTGGCATAGTCACCCTGGAAAAATAAAAGGGCCTTTTCCAAACTGCTCCCACAAAGTTGGATGCACAGAATTGTCCCAAATGTCTTAATAAGATAAATGTTAAGATTTCCCTTCACTGGATATATAGCTATCCTATTTAAAAGGTCTGTGATATGTTTTATGGTGACCCATGATGAAGACCACAAGCCAAAAACCTTTGGTCATGAAGTAAATTTGTTCTTTATACTACAAGTATTTATATACTTTTGAGATCACACAAGATGCAAGGAATGGGGTGAAATGGAGGCAAATGATCCTCTCAGCCAAAAGGTGGAGGAAAAAAAAGGTAATAATATGCTTTTAAGTAGAAAGGGAGAGAAGAATATACAGTCCTCCCACCCGTCCTCTCTTGGTTTCCAGTGATGTGCACAAGTGATGAGTGGCATCCCATTCTGCAGTCAAGTTTTGTACCAGTACCCCTCTTAGCTGCTTTTGAAGTGTACTTAAGACTGAGGCTATCTTCAAAATCAAGAGAGAAGCTAAAGAATGTGAATTATGTTGCGTTTGACTTTCTGTCTTTTGTTTTCAGTGTCCCTCACTCAATTTTTTTGAAGCCACAAATGTGTAATTTCTTTTTACCATTTGTCTGCCCACGTGGGAAATTGAAGTCCATTGCTGACATCGGTCTACATTTTGTTTGACAGCAGTGTAAATGATTCATTGTCTTCTGAGGTAGTTCTAGAGGATCAGGTTGACAGGTATGTCTCAGGCCAGGTGAGTAAGTATGTGTTCAATAATACACCTTGCACCCAGCCTCCTTCATGTAGTTTTGATCAATAGCCTAGGGGTTGGGGCACTGATGGCTTGTGCTGTAGTAGTTAGCAAAGAACTTGAGTGCAACACAGTAAGGTTCACTGAGAATGGATCTGACAGCTCTGTTTTTTCTACTTTGCTTTTCAATTCCTGATGTCTTAGCACTGATTAAAAACTATGAAAACTCTGAACTCTCTTTTGGTAAAAATGGAAAAACTGGAGGTAAAGTGTAATGTAGACGAATAACACAGGTTATTGATGAGGCGTCTGGTGTCAAAATAAGACCCTAGACGCACAGTACAGTGGTCCCTCGCTATAACACAGTTCACCTTTTGCAGCCTCGCTGTTTCGCAGATTTTTTGTGTGCAATTTTGCATGCTGTTTTTTGTTTGTTTGTTTTTTTTGACAGCTCATTGAGTTCTGCATCCTGATCGAATGTAGACCATTGTCAGTCAATGTCTTCCATGCCGTGTCTCCTGTACAGTACAGACTGCATCAAGCTTGTCAAATTTACATAAATCTTTGATCACTAGCAGTGTGACTCTAAAGTAAGTTTTTAAGTTTTTTCCCCAACAAACACAACAATGTCAACAAAACTTTTCGCACCACCGAAGGCACCTGCGGTACCAACCAAAAGGCAGGAAGATGCTAACCATCGCACAGAAAGTTGGACTTCTGGACATGCTAAAGGAAGGTAGAAGTTAATGTATTTTTCTGACCATAAGGCGCACCAGATTATAAGGCGCAATAAGCAAAACAAAACAGTCAGATAAGTCAAATTTTACTCAACTCAGTCTTCTTGCTTCCTCCACTTCCGTACCATTGATTCATTAATGTTGAATTCTCTCGCAGCTGCTCTATTCCCATGTTCTGGACCTGGAAACAGGGTTTGATCTTTGGTTTCATTCTATAATACTGGACTTATTTTTCTATGAAGGTTTGAACTTTGAGATAGTTTAAACAAGAGAGAAAAGTGTGAAAATGTTCATGCCTGTCTGAGAAAAGTGTATAAAGTGTGTAGTGAGGAGGGTTTTATGGCCTTAAAACATCTATAATAATTGTGAAAAAATTAAGCTGGCTACTTCACGGATTTCACGTGTCGCGGGTTATTTTTAGAACCTAACTCCTGCGATAAACGAGGGACCACTGTAAACCAAAAATGTTAACTAGATGAATGTTACACAATTTTTTATTTTTTATATATTATCATGTGAGAGTAACAAACATTAGCTACTGCTTGGAAATGAACTCTGAGCATTGCAAGGTGAAATATTGACTGGTTGTTAAAGTTACTGCCACATTGTGGCTAACAAAATCCAAAATAGAACTCCAATTAAAATTTTTTATGCTACGCTGTATGTAAGGCCTTCCTTTCAGCCATGATGGCACCTTTCTAGATCTCCAAGCAGCAATTTCCATAGGGACTAATGCACTTCCATACCATCAGACTTTTGGAATGAGCTGATAACAAGTGGGATGATCCCTCTCCTCTCTAGTCCAGAGTATAGATGTTTACTAAACTTTCAAATTCCAATTTGTCTGACCACAGAACAGTTTTCCACTTTTCTTCAGTCCATTTTATGAGTTTTGCCCCAGAGAAGACTGTGGCTGCTTCTTTGGATGTTAGAACTTTTACTGAACTTTTGGATGGCACAATGAATGATGTTCACAGACTGATTTCTGAAAGTGTTCCTGAGCTGCACTAATTTGACAGAATCGTGCTTGTTTTTAATGCAGTGCTGACAGAGGGCCCAAAGATCACAGGAATCCAGTATTGCTTTTCTACCTTGTCCCTTTTGTAGAGAAATTTCTCCAGATTCTTAGAATCTAGTGAATCTTTTGATATTATGTATTGTAGATGATGTAGGTGATGAGGCACGTCCACAATTATTTTCCTTCTTATTCAGAAACCAAGTGCTTTAGTAATTTGGCTTAAGGTTTTTAACCAACATTAGTAAGCAGTTTTATAATGAAGCTTTTTAATTACATTTACACTTCCATCCGTCCTGCATCCCTTAACTGCTTATGTTAAGAAGACTTGTATTTCAAATTAAGCAAAACTGATTACAGTAGATTTGCAGGCATACAGGAGATAACATTTCTAAAAGTACTTTTGACAAGCAAATATTTATATTTATTTATTATTTAAAAAGTTTTATTGCTAAGCCTTTTGAAAAATGAACCAGTCATGTTAGCACTGCAGATCAGCAAATTCTGCGGTAACCAGCTAAACACGAGAATCTCAGGGTGTCACATTGGTGACATTGAAAATCCCATTTTCACTTCATGTGCCACTTGAGTTTACATTTACTGTGTGATTGGTCTAGTGTTACACTTCTAAATGTGAGCTAAGCTTGTAGAGGTGGTAGATTAGAAAATGAGAGAAACAGAAGGAGAATGATCAAATGAAGACAGGCAGAATGAAAAGTGATGGGATGGGAGAGATGGGTGCTTTTGAGAATGAGCTGCAGTGGACCATTGCTTTCTCTGGAATAGGGAAGAAGTCAGGAGAGTGGGAACAGATATTTCACACCCCACGATACTTATCAACCACAGCTCTCAGCTATTTTTCTTTTTCTTTTTCTCTTGCTTTCCGTCAGTTGCTCAGACTTTCCTCATGCCTCTTTCCCCCAGCCCCTGGCTTGGAAAGATATTACTGACAAGTCAATCTGGGAGGAGTGCCTATTGAACAGCATTTACCCAGCTGTGAATAGGTAGTCCCATCCCCAGCCAGATTCAACTGAGGCCAAACCTCAAATAGGTCCATCAATTGAGCTATAATGAAGGGGCACAATAGGAGCCAGAGAGGCTGTCCACACACTTGTGCAATACCACACACACATGCACATGGCACACTTGCTTCTGAGACAACAGTGTTATAGTCATTAGCAGGACAGATGTCTAAGGACATAAGAAGAAATTATTCATACAGTTTAAAACAGATTAAATCATTTTTTAATCTCAGATTCTATTTTGTCATACAACAAAAGATTTGAATTTCACTTGACAAGGTCATCATGTACGATAATAGACAGCGAGGATTATGATTTATGGAATATGGAAAGGGAATAAAACTGTAGCATAAATATATTTTGAACAGCCAATTCACGGTTACTAAATTTTTGCACTGAGTGAATAGTGAGTTTGTGTGTGTTTGGTGACAGCACTGTATGCCCTGCTGGTGGGCTTGATGCGTTTTAGTACTTTGACTCTTCCCCCCCCTCCCCTCCCCTCCAACACCTCTCCAGCACATGTTGACACAACCATTACCCATTTGTCCGCATCCACACGAACGTAGCAAAGCTGTCCTGCGCTTCAGATAGGAGGGCCTTGTATTGCTCTTTCATCTTAAAGTCAAGTCAGACTTGTATTTGCAGTATTTGCTAGGTCAGACTGTTGAAGACATAACCATTTTGTGTAAAGCCCAACTCTTGCACTCTTCAAGCATTTTAGAGTGCGAAGACTTGTTGCCTTAAAAATCCTAAGAAGAGTAATACTGTGCTTGCTGCAGCATTTGGAAGTGAGCCAGAGCCAAGAGCAGAGTTAAATGCAAACACATCTATTTAACTGTGTTTACACTAACTTGGAAACTTTTTCAGTAAGCAATATTCTCATTAGTTAGGCTTTGAAAAAACTGGTGGGCAGGGTTAACGTTAAAGTAGAATGAACTTTAAGTGCAGCAAAAATGGAGTAGTGTAAAATGCACACACTTTGACCTGACTGAGAGCTCTTAATGCCAACGTTGTTTTATCGGCATTTTATTTCCAACTTAATTTCTTTGCAAAAACAAGAGGGAATGGCTCTCACTTTTGCTGTCAAGTTGGAGATGCTCTCATCAGCCTTTAATGGATACTTGTTGTGAAATGTAACAATGACCTTGACCACAACCCTCACAGCTTCAGCAAAGTTGCACGGGAGCAGTATGACAAGCTGGTGATCATGCACGGCAACATGGAGACGCTGTATCAGAACCTGCTGGAGTACTTTGCTATTGATCCTAAGAAGACTTCTGTGGAGGAGCTGTTCACTGATCTCAGCAACTTCCGTTCAATGTTCACTGTGAGTACATGGTGCAATCCTTCATTTTATATTTATTTTTTTAATATCTTGAGTTGGAGACATTTGCATATTGAATAATGTTTTGACTTTTCATTAAACCTGTCCTGCTATTAAAGCCACACAGGGATTAGCACAATATATGTGTTACAGGAACTTATATGTCTTAATGAGAAATGAATGACTCAGCCTGTCTCATATTAAGATGTGCTTTTTTTTTTTTTTTTTTTTTTTTGAATGGATTTATTTACCATTTAGTACAATGTTACATTAAGAGAAATACTGCAGTGCTACTTCATATCAGCTGGTGTTTTAATGCTATTTAAGAGTGTTTCATTTATGGGTGCATTTTCATTTTGCCTCTTGTTAACATATTTTAAGAAGTGACAGAATTGCTAATGCTAAAACTGTGATAGATAAAAAATAGCTCTAACCATAAAGCTACTTATGATGTTGCACTCATTAGTTGCCCAACATCCATGAAAAATACAAGCAAAAAGGCAAACCACAAAATAAGTGAAAGATTTGCCAGAGTTTTATTTCTGGTCTGAGAGGGGGAAAAGACCTTGAAAATAGGGGTTATTATTTATCTTTTTATTCACTGCCTGTTTTATTACAGAACTTCTACTTCGTTCTGTGTCCTGTGGTAAAATACAAAGCAGAACAGTGCCAGTCCTGTGTAGTCCAGTCCCACCCGGACATTTATGTCATCCCTGAGCTCTGTGCCCTTATCAGTCTGGTGCTACCGTGAGCTCTGGAGCTGCAGAGACCCACTGTGTTTAATCAGCAGGATTAGTGGCACAAGCCACTGGGCGCGACAGATAATAGTAGCTAATTAGCCTACTAAAGTTATTGCCCTGCCCCTAACTTAACATCTACCACACACACAAATGGATTTCATGCCTTTTTGCTTTTTTTCCCCCCCTCCCTCCCTGCATAGTGATTACTTATGCTTTTGTTTTTTCTTGTAGCCTGCTACTTTTTTTTGTTGTTGTTTTCCATTTATGCACTCTTCAGGCAGAGTGGCCGTGGGGTTTTATCAGTATCCTTCCTAGATCAGAATTGACAGAAACTTTAATGAAGCTTCAGCTGCAGTACAAATGCAGCTGCTTTCTTATGGATCATTCTTTGGAAGGAAGGTACGTCAAGATGTGTAGCAACAGAAACTGAAATAATAATATATCCCTGCACATATGATGCAATTACTGTAGGATATGTGAACAGCACAAAATTTATGTTGCTCTGGCTATTGAGCTCGGCTTGTACTGTCATTTTTTTCACCCACTTGTCATTTCGCATTTCTATAGCGACGGGGTGTGTGATTGCTGCCCGACCGGCACCTTTGCTATAAAAGAGAATGGGTGTCAGAGCACAAGGGTGCCAATGTTGCAGTGTATGTGAAAGACTCTTTGGCCCTTTAGAGAGCCCAAATTTTTTCCTAGGTACCCTGTTTATTTTTATTGATGCTATTGATCCCAGGACTAATGTGTGCTGTTATCCATGGCGCAATTAAATAACTAGAGTTGCCAGAACTGAGGCTAAATGATGTCGATCTATTCTGTATTCTGTGCATTACTATTGCCTAGTAATAAAAACTGATTTTAACATTGTGTTCTTAAAGCTAAACTGTTGCTGAAATCCCTTTTATTTGAAGCCTATGGTTCAGTTTTGAGTTTTGCAGTAGCTTTTATGTTCTGACCAAACATAACAGTTAATGATGCTGCCAGTGAAAGGTGAAGAAGCCAAGTGTTATAAAGGCTAGCATTATATGGTCAAAACTCCCAAGATAGCTATTTATTCCCCTGCGATAGGTCAGGGCGTTAGCAGCTTACACTCTCAGCAATTCGTTGAAATGGTCACATCACGGAGACACATCTTAGGAAAAGCCAAGGCTAGGTCAACGAACGTAGGCATACAGTAAATCTAAGCATTGTAACCTCTCGGTCAGATCTGTGTCAGCATTTACCCTGCCGTGCCGAGGCCCATGCTAATAGGTGCGTGCTGTCTCTAGACCACTGCCTGGGGCAAACTGAGCCTTGAACTGTGTGTATCTTGTTGGCAGAATGTGTGTCTGTTTGTTTGTGCGCATATGTCATTCTGCTTTGGCATTTTTTTTTTTTTAATAGGAAAAGCTGCTTAGTTATTTCACACACAAAGATGTGCACACACAATTGTGCACACACATGCAGCATGCCCAGTCACCCGTAAGAAGGAGACACAGGGCGAGGCCGCACATCTGACAGGAATCCAATTGAGCGTGTCTAATGGCGGACATCCAGGAGAGAAGGAGGGCGAAGCAGACCTGCAGTGATGAAGGAGAGCAGTAGACAATTTTACAGAGCTGGTTCTCCCTCTCTTTATTCCTCTACATCACTAGGTCTCTCGCTATTACAGTAACATATATAAATTTTTTTTTCAATCAAAAGATCTCTGAAAGTCTGTGTTACCTCAGTTCATATTACAATGTTACATTTCAGCATGAAGATAATTTTTAATTTTACATTTAAAAACAAATAAAAATTGTCTTACTTGTGCTTGAAGTTAACATTTTATTCCATTCAGCTGATGTCCCCACTGACATTTTAATTCTTATTTTCCTAATTGCCTCTGCGATTTAGTAAGACAGCATAGCTTCTTCATGCTGGCTGTAATCATAACAATTTTTGTTTTAATAAGGGTGTTTTTGCTGTAATAATCTTTAGCTGCTCATTTCTGTTTTGTTTGTGAAGTTTAAAAGCCATCTTTTTTTTATTTATTTATATATAACAGACCCACTTATAGTATTGACCTGTTACTGACTCATCATTGTTTTCTTGAATGGTTGGCAGCTTTGAAAGATCTCGATTTAAATAAGAGTTTTTTTTACGCTTCTACATCCTTCCTCAGTGGATCTGCATAATCATATCATTGTAATCCCCTGCCACTTTTCATAATGAACAGGGGCAAAAAAGAGTATTTGTACTTTTGTACATTCCTTAAAAAAATGAATATCTCCCATCATCCTCAGCTGTAGTTTGTGCCTTTTAATAATTGGCAAAGGTTAGCCAGTTAACACATAAAAGAAACCAAACTGTGCATGTTTAAAATATTCCTCTAAACATCATAATATGATAACATGGATCACCCAACATTTATTGTTTCATTCAGAGCCCCACTGTACCAAAGTACAATTTTACATCAAGGCACAACCATGGATGTAGACTATTATTTAAAGGGGGGAAAAAAGTCTGTACTGGTATTTGCACTTATCATTATTCAGTTGCCATTTATGTCTGTAGTTCTACACACACAACACACACACAACACACAACACCACACACACACACACACAATATAATATATAATATATATATATATATATATATATATATATTATATATATATATTATATATATATATATATATATATTATATATATATATATATATTAATTTTAATTATTTTTTAAATTTGTTGTATTTGTGAAGTTAGTTTTAATGTGTAATTTATATATCAAATGCATATATGTTCAAAGAAAAATAGTCCCATCTGTTAGACTGTAAGTGATACTAATTTCATAAATGACTAAACTGTATAGGGCTATTCAGATTCTGAGCAGCAGCATCTCTGTTTGATTGCTTTAGCACAAGTATATTTACTTTGTTTTAGTAAGTGAAATTGCCCTTTTCATGGAAGAGTTTTGATGAAATTTACATTAGGCATCAGTCATAGCTTGTAACCTGGGATCATTTAATTGTTCCCTACTAAAAATATGCTGCACATTGGTAATCTTGTTCTTCTCTTTTCTTTTTCCTCATTCTTTCTGTCCTTAATTTACCAGATGCCCATTAAGAATATAGTCATTTGTGAATTGTTGGTTGCTATAAGCAACTCACAGTCATTCCATCAAATCAAAGTTCATTTTGTCAAGTAGTTGGTTTCATTTAAAAATAGTTATAAAAAGAGAGCTCTGAGTGCTTCACAGACATTTGGTATTCATCTCACCCTCTCTTATTCTTCAATACTCTCTTCTCCTGAATTTCTATAAGCCTGTCGAGTGGTACTTATCAATGTTTTTAGCTGCTATTGTCTACTTATGTGGGTGAGTTTAGTCAAATGTGTTCTAAACCCTTCCCATCATTTTTTTTCTCGCTGTATTTGCAACACTTTATCATAACTGTTGTAAAAAGATAAATTGATGAAAATATACAATTTACTTATACTAACTGCAACAAACAACAAAACTTGATGTTGATTGCTACTGGACAATTAACTAAGTTGTCTGAGAACGCTTCCATCAAAGTTTACATCTCCTTAGTGTTTGGATTTCTTTTATACATTAAAACAGATTTTAGATTTAACAGAATGCTTCAGTTATTGTCTATTATTACCTGTGATTAATACACTATTTGGACAGAAGTATGGTGCAATCTACACATTAATGTTAGAGGAGTGACTTGGCCGTTGAAACCAATTGCATGAAGGTCCAGGCACTCAGTTTTTATGCTGAAGCTTGTAACTATGCCTCAACTCAGTCAGCAGAAAGATGTCGATCTTTTGCACTATGCGCTTCGGCACTCATACAAAATCCCTGTTTTGCATTGTTACGTTGTCTGCCACTATTGTTATGTTGTTTCCTAAACACTTCCACTTTGTAATAATGCCACTTAGACTTGATTGTGGATTATCTAGGATGGAAGTAATTGACTCGTTGCAGTGGTGGCATCTTACCACACTTGAATTCAAGTGAACCGTTTTGAATCGCCCAATCTTTCACAAATATTTGTAAAGACAGACTGCATGGCTAGTTGCCTGATTTTATCTTCCCAACAGTCCAGAGGACCACTAAAACTCTTCAACCATTCGGTCAACGACAATGATGTGGGTGTTTTGGTTTGTGTGGGATTGTGATGAAATGTCAAGTTAATCAATGTTAAATTACCTGTTGCTGTCGACAGTAACTTTGCTGTTTTACATTAAGATTATGACTTAATATTGGCATGAGCAAGCCACCTTCACCCTTCAAACCCAAACTCAGTACAGGGAAAAAACAACAAAACAAGCTGAGTGGGCTTAGACACTTTGTCCATTGTGTGTTTTTCCTAAGTTATAACCAACTACAATTACTTTTTATAAATAAGAAAAAACAAAATCTCAAGTTTGTCCAGTGGAAGATTAATGCAATAAGGGGCAAACGTGGAGCATTTACTATATAGGATTGCAGTAGTGTTTATATGTAGTTTTATATAGTTAAATTTAGCCATGCAAAAAAATAAAGGATTAAAGCACAGGCTAACAGTGATGAAACCATACCACTGTGTCAGTACTGTGTGCAGTTACAACCCTATTATTAGTAATATACACTTTATTTATTCAATTGAAAATTTCTCTGAGCATCAATAAGACCTTTGAAACAATCAAATATACTGAAATGTTTTGAATTCAAGTTGACCATATAATTTCCAACTATAGTCACTTGTATGCCGACATAATAAGATGTTGTCAGTGGGTTTCAATAAGTGATTGCCCCTCTTTGGTGTGCCACTGTAGTTTTCCCCATACTACACAGTTCTTGTGGTGTCTGTGTATGTGTTTTTGTGTGTATACATTTATGTTGGTTTGATATTACTATTCTATCACTGACCTGCCCATCAAGCTGAGCTGTGTAGAAAACCCAAGTGGAGGGGGGTTTGAGGGGGAGAACTTGGGTGTTTGATGAAAGCCTAGACTCCCTTGCTTTAAGTGACTGGCTATTGATCAGGATGGCAATCGTGCTAGCACTCTATTAAATCATAAGCAGTCTGTCTCTCGGCTGTGGCGTTATTGAGCTATTGACAAAATTGGAGGAGTTTAACAACAGGGACTACAGAGCCTGCAGTTACAATAGTTGATGCATACCAGATGTTCTCCCTAGAGAGACTGATTCAAATGAATGACATAAGTTTGGAAGTTTGGCTACATCACCATGTTTAAATGTCAGTAACATTTAGTGACATCTGAAAGACTCAAGACCAAATATTGATTTTAAACAACCACCAGTGTTTACTTGTATGAACTGTACTGTACATAGGTTATTCATGTTTAAAGGCCTCCAGCGAATAATATTTGATCCTGCAAATTCCAATAAAATTCTCTTAGGACAGAAAAATATAATACTTAGGAGCAGAAATATTCTGGAGTACAAGAAGTACTGTACAGCATACAAACTAAAACTATTGCTATGACCATGTGGTTGATCAACATAGATATTTGTGTTTGTTGTTCACTTAAACTTGCAAATGAATTAGCTTGAAATCACTAAGCGTGTATACTTAACAAAAAAAAAAAAAGTAAACCTCTTTGCTAAAGATTTGATGCTCCAGTTAGCAATCTGGTTACTGATAATATGTGCTCTTCTTAAGATGGATTCATTGCTGTTACCAAAGACTCAGTCACAACTTTACCAAACGTTTTAAAACAGATTATAGACAGCCCCAAAAAGCTATAAATGGAGAGCCAGGTTATTAGAAATGTGACTAGATAAAGTATTTTCATTTTGAGCATACCACAGTGGCCAGATGTCTGCTGAACGTTCAATCTGTATATGTTAAAACAATACTGGAAGAATTTACCTTTCAAAAATGTTTTTACACTCTGCAGTAAGGTAATGCTGTCTGTATGTGATGAAAAAGACAAATTATAGGGAAAAAATGTAAAGCAAAATCAAATTCTACGTTGCTACAACTCAAAGTCAAAGAACAGAATTGCTTGTAATCATCAGCTTCTCTTGATTCCTTGATCATTGTTCCATCAATCTCATCAATCTAGTCTCTGACTTCAGTGATATGAAGTTCGTTTTTTTTTTTTTTGTCTCAGAAGACTTGAAGCACAGTGCAGCTAAGAAGCTTCACCTGATTTTAGTGGTGCCTGATAAAGATTTCATCAGGGTTTGACTGCTGCCTCCCTCTTTGACAGGCTTAGCACTATTGTAATTAACCCCACTTAGCAGTCCATCATGTTTTCTCTTTTTTTTCTCCTCCCCTCACATTTTCTGTCTCTGCCCTGCAGCAAGCACTGAAAGAGAACTTCAGGCAGAGGGAGACGGAGGAGAAACAGAGGAGAGCGCGGGCAGCAAAGGAGAAGGCAGAGCGTGAAAAGCGGGAGAGACAGCAGAAGAAGAGGAGGTTGCTGGAAGTCAATGCAGGTAAAGACTGCATAATTTGCTTTGCCTGTCAACACTTGCAACAATAAAACCCTTTCACAGAGCCGTGTGCTGAATCAATCTAGGGTCAAGCGGTGTAAGAGATCACTCAAAGACAACGAATCTCATTTATAACATACAGCCCAAATTTTAATGGATTAGAATTGACAGCTATTTTCTCACAATTCAGTTTTCAACACTATAAAAATAAAACCCCCACATCTGTAGAGAAAATCTGTCATCTCATTTTGATTGATGGATGTAGTTAAGTAATGTTTAAAATAATATCCATTATGTGATATTAAAGCGTGTCATAAGGCTTTTATTTTAAACTGTCACTCTGTCCATATCACTCATGTTGAAATTACAGTCTTAACTTTAATTATTTCAAACCAATTAAGCCATCAAATGTAGTTGACCCGTGCATTATTAAACCACTATTACATAGTAACACAAATTTGAGACTTGAGCTTTATTGTGTTGCTTTATTTTCATTTGTGCCCTTGTAGACAGTGTTTTTTTTTTTTTGTTTTTTTTACAATATTACAAGGATTACAGAAGTTCACTTTTTAACTAACCTATCTTGAGAGGTCAAAAACATTTGACAGGATTCAGAGTATTACTACAACACAGCACTTTCAACTCTTCTTGTTGAAACAGTGTTTGTAACCTTAGCATATCCAGTCTTTCTGAGCAAGACAAGTATTATGCCAGTGCCTTTTAAAGGAGATGCTACAAACTGCCAAAATTAAATGAAATCCTTCTTTATGTTTCAACATTTCAAGATAACTAGGTCATAAACTAGGACACACAAAAAGGTGGTATCTTTTTGGTTCTCAAAAAAAGAGAAAAGCAGCCAAATGCAGCAGAATAAGAATTACTCTACAAAGGAAAAAATAGTTTCTTCTGATTTCTGCCCAGAATTTAGCAGAATGCTTTTTGCTCACATGTAAAAATAAATATAGCCTTTTTATTTTTTTAACACTTTTCAGACAAGTGCTAAATTAGAGTAAAGAATCTGATTTGGAGAAATTATTTTTTTTAAAACAAAAAAGACAGTCACTCCTATTGCAGTATCAGAGAAGCTTGCGCTCATGCTTTATTTGACATATTAATAAAAAATGAGTGCATAGTAGGTTCAACAATAATACCACATGCACCATATATCAGTTTATATGTGTAAAACAAGGAAACTATTTTGAATTATTTGGGTGATGGGGCAAGTTTCACAAGCCTAATCTTGTTCAGTTTGTGACTTGAGTGAGTACTGCCCTGTGCAGTATCACTTAAGTGTCATGTGATTGCATTATCTGTCAATAAATGCATTATTTCAAAGTAGTGTATTTCCTCTTTTAAAAAAAAAAAAAAAGCAAATACTTTGAAACACATCCATCAGAGCAGAAACTCAGTGCACTAAAAGTGAATAAACTGACACATGAATGAGAAATTAAATTCAACGCACAGTTGAATTGCATGAACATGGTCATAAAATCCATGTGAATAGTTACGTGTTTGCCCCTTGCTTTGATAACTTGAAAAAAATCATTGTGAGACTTCAGAAAGATGGAAAAGGATAAAAAGAAGATTGGTGACCCTCAAAAAATCAACTGAAATATATTTGCTGCAGTAATCAGGAGGTATAGAAGAAGCCATAGTGCTACCAATCAGAGCTCTAGCGTTTGCCCTGCTAAAATGACGATATTGACAGTGTGTCACAATCTTTCTGAGACAGACAAGTGCTTCAGACTTGAAACAGGGGTCATCATTGAAAATCAGATTTTCTGTGACAGCTTAGACCATAGGTGTCAAACTCTGGCCTGCGGGCCAAATTTGGCCCGCAGCCTAATTAAATTTGGCCCACGAAGCCATACAAAATTGCTATTAGAGCTGGCCTGCCAGTATTATACAGTGCATGTACTGCTAATACTACAATTCCCAGAATGCTCTGTTGGTGTTTTGGTGCGTCAGTCATGACAGGACCCATTAGCACCCTCTCCTCTGTTGACCATAGTCATAGCAACCATGCAAATACTGCCATGCTACCTATCCCAAAATGGCAAAAAGAAAGGCAGAAAACAGGAGCTTTCTGGACAGGTGGGAGAATATGAGGAAAATTTTAGAAATGATAAAATGATAACATTTAATTCAGAAGGCTGCAAATACATTTTTTATTTAAGAAATGAATTCCACTGATGTGTTATTTAATTGCAATATTAAGTTATATATATACGTTTATATAAGTTATATATATTGTTTAGTATTAAGTTTTGTTTGTTCTATATTCAGTTTTTCAGCAAAACTTGTTTGAGTGCATAAGAAACGATTCCTTGTTATATTTGGAGGAAGATTTTTTTTTTTAAATGAATATTAATGACTTTGATCCAGTTTTGTATTTTGGCCCACTGTGTATTTGAGTTTGACACCCCTAGCTTAGACCATGGCTGTCAAAAATAAGGCCTGGGGGCCAGAATGGGCTCAGCAAAGACTCCAGTATGACCCAGTGAAAGGCTTTGGAAAAAGTGCAATGAGGGCATGGATTGTGAACTTTCTAACTGTAGTTTTACAGATTTTAAAGACCTCCACCATTGCCACTCATACTGCATCAAATAGTTTTGCAATAGATACACAATTAAATGAAATGACAAAATGAAGTACCAGAACCTTTTGCTTTACACATGTATTGTGCAGAAAATGGAGATGTATTGTTGAAACTGCACTTTGTTTTCTTATATTATGATATTTCATGGATGACCTGTTTAGTTAAATGTCCTTACAATGACAGAAAGAGTTTTTTTACCGGTCTGGCCCACAATTTAAACTTAGTTTGAAATCCCTGACTTAAACAGTGCAAAGAATAGACCATAATGATAACCCCCACTTAAAAGAAGAAGAAAAAAGTCTTCTTCACATATTAGGCATTTGGCACATATGCAAGATAAAACTAAAATAAATTTGTGTAATTCAGATGACGTCCAACATATTTGCCATTAACCTTGCAAGGGCTTCTAGAGTGCATGGTTCCTACAATGAAGCATAGAGGTGGGAATGTGATGATAGGGACATGTTGACATTTATAGATTGCACCATGAATGCGTGTTTATGTAAGACAAAATATTTTCTGACAGCATGCCTCCCACTCTCCAGTAGTCTGGTACAAAAATGATATTCCAGCATGATAATACAGCAGATTGCCAAAATCAGAGAAAAAGAAAAAAGGTAAAACTATGACCTGGCTGGTGCATTTCCTGACTTGAATCCAACAGAACACCTTTGGAGTGTTCTGTTGCAAAGAACAGCTGGAAAAAATTATCTAAAGAGCGACAGAACATCTCTGGAAAAAAGTGTGCAGTGCTGTACAGTATCCTACATGCAGGAAAACATGGAGTCTGCAACCACAAATAAAGGAGGTGGACAAAGCTTGTGTTCAATTTGAAAATGAAGCAGTTACGTGACACTGTTTTAAGTCATTAGACTGTTAAGCGATACTGCGTGGGGTGTACAAACTATCCTATAAATGCAGCATCAGTGTTTACTTTGAGTGGTTACATGCTGTGAAGACAGAAGTTACTGTTAAACATTCCTCATTTATATTGATATTTTGCATTGACAAATGGGACCTGAATCTTATAAATCATTGTCTCCTTTCCAATTTTCAGCAAAAACTGAGAAGACAGCACCTAGCTGTCTAAAATGTTATTCTCAAGAGATACTACTGCGTCTTACACAGATGGAGGCTGTTACTCTGGCTTGTATCATACATTATCCGATACAGGCTGTAGTTTTATAAATCACTATTAAATATTTAAATTTGTATTGCTGCTGCATTTGATGAACATATTTTCTCTCAAGGGAAATTTATCTTACAGTTAGAAAGCAAAATCATAACAGACCTCCAAGTGGGAGTAACACTGAAACTATCCCCAGTGAAAGAAGCTCATATCTGTCAACATAAATGCATTTTCAGAAAGTCATAATTAATTAATACTTGTCCACCCGATAGTCTTTTCTTTAACCACTTATTGGCTTCAGTTTGTATTTTAATTCAATTTCATAACACTAATATGCATTTGGTCTTTGACAAGGGGCACAGAGCAGTTATCTATTCTTTTGCCTGAACCTAAATAATAAGAGAACAAGATTAAAATGTATCTATACGTTTTCCCTAGCAAGTGTTAGTGTCTAAAGATCGGATGAAACCTTCTCTTTCCATGAGCACAGAGCTCCTCAGATAAGATTTGAGAACATTTACACAACAGAACAGCAATAGAATGATTAATGAGTCATAATTGCAAATTTAGCAGACGTTTCACTTAAAAAACAGTATTTGTTACCTCATTCCCTCTTGTTGAGCTGTGCGTATCAGACCAAATTTGCATTATGAGCCATAATTGCAGGTAAGGCTGTTACAGTAGAGTCAACACAGCAGTGTAAACAGATATTTTGTTACTTATCTGAGAGCGACTTGCCAACAGTATGTGGCTGTTGTTCATTTTATCAAATGTCAAAATGCTAACAAATGTCAGCAGGCGGCTGTTCTCAGACAACAAAAAGCAGGCCTAGACAGACTGTATTTGAAGCTGTGTTTCTCCACAAAAGGACAAAAACCAGGTGCTGGTTTTCACTTGATGCACTTTTGCAGTTTTTCTGAAAGACTCAAAAAGTTGGTCGCTCACCCACCCCAGAGTTAATGAAGTCTGACATTACTGTAGAAAATGGGATCTTGGCAAGATAAATATGCATCAGTTGGCTAAATTATTGTTCCTTATGAGCCACCATGGCTGCATGTGTGTTTATGGCTAGGCCAATCATTGTGCTAGTGGACGTAGTTTAGCCATGCGTAGTAAAGTCTCTCCATGTCAGCCCTGCTCACTCAGTTGTTATGTTTCTGATTAAACCCATGACAGACATTTGTGGCATCATTGGGCAAAAAATTCTATAATAACCTTTGAGCATATTGTAATTCAAATTGTTGAACAAATGAAAGTCTGGTCAATATTACTGCC